GTCATTCTTTTAATTAATGCCATCAGGATTTTAATTGAACGAATATTTTATTCGAATCTTTATTGTTTAAATATTTAATATCAAGGCTTATAAGTTGCGAAATAAATAAAATAATTAAGATTCTGAAAATAATTAAAATCCTTTTTGATATCGGAAACAAAACAACGAAGAGATAACAATTTCAGGCAGAATTTAATTTAATTATAAAAGGAACATTTTTTATGTGTGAAAAATTTGAAAAAAAAAGTAAATCAAATTTTCATAATTTAGAAAAATTTACTCTCTTTTGTAAAAATTATATGAACACCCAATCTCTTGTTTATTTTTACTCTATATTGCTCTTGATATTTTTGTAATTCCTGTTAGCTTTATCGCAAATGGCGGTGGCTTACCAGCTTGTCGGTTTAGTCATATCCGAGGCTTCGTTCAAGGTTTCAAGTTTATGTTGATGTCGTGAAGAAAGAGGGGACTTTACGCGCCATGTTTAGAATCGCTATATCGCTTTGCCATTTTTGTTGCTGGTTTCTGAAGAGAATAAAGCTATGACAGCCTTTCCATTTTTAGAATCGTTCATTGAGAGAATATAATCTTAAATATGGCACGCCCGAAATTATGAAGCATTATTATATGATGATCTCTAAATTCTTTTTTTGTCAAAATCTCTACTCCCGCTTTTATACACGAATTTTATTTAACCCGCATTTTATTCATCTTATATGAATAATTTTTAATATTTTACTTCTTCAAATCGATCATAATGATAATAATCCAAATTGATTTAATACTTAAAAAAATAATGATATGCACTAACAAATATTTTTTTATAAAAGATTTAATAATCTAAATTATTTTAAAATGATTATAAAAATATGAAGAAAACTCAACCGTACTAGAAAAACTATCATAAAGGTTTCAAAAGGGAATAGATGGGATGGATGGGGGAAAGAGGGACGAAAACTTTCTTTTGAAAAAAGTTAGGGGTTTCTGTCAGTGAAAGATGGTAAGACACATAGATCTTCTTGTCGCGCTTTTAGCATTAAAAGATGGCTGCTCGATGCAAAACTTACGTCATAAAAGTTTGAAGCTTGTAAATAGAGAAAGAATTTTTTATTCTGTTGAATTAAATTTTTAAATCCACAAATTTTTTTTCTGTCTTGAGAGAAAGGATAGTTTATCCAGCCGCTTTTAACGCTAAACGCGCGTCAAGATGTAAAGATAGAAGACACTTAAACGACAGACATTTAGACGACAGACAGATAAGAGACGTTTTTCACAACATTTAATAAAACGCTATCAACTATGTATGCCTCTTTTTTACTCAAATACTCTAAAAGTTACTTACATACGTGTATAATTTTTATATGATTTATTCTTTTTTTTCTCAATGCCATGCGCGCGGACGTGTCACATATCTTTTGCACATTTTTGACGGAAAAACCCCCGCACTTATGCCCCTTTTGCCTTTATTTCTCTCTCTCTCTCTCTCTCTCTCTCTCTCTCTCTTTCTTCTTTTTTTCACCGTTTTTTTCATTAGCAATTTTTACCTTTCGCTCGTTTTATTAGGCACCGATCATCGATGATGAACACAGTAAGGTATGACAGCGCGATTATGGAGCGAAAAGGAAAAAGGAAACAAAGAAGAAAAGAAGAAAAAGGGTGCTTTGCGGAAATTGACACGTCCGGCTTCTGTACGTGTGTATGTATGCATGTCCCTGCCTATACGTTTGTGTATATGTGGACGTGTATAAATTTAATACTATCGTCGTATCGTTTACATTCTTGCTTATATATATATATAAATTTATATATATATATATATAGTACTTCAATTAATCGTTGACACAGCGATCAACGTCCCGGGATGCGCTAAAGAGAGGTCCGTTTCTCTCGAAATATCTTCTACGGGGTGATTGATTGGTTGGATCGATTGAGGATGATGGGCGTGCAAAAGAGATAATAGTCGGCGTGATGATGATGATAGTGATGTTGTGTTGTGCTCCTCGCGAGCTTTTCTCTTTCGACCGTACGTTTCTTCGCGAAAAGCCGAGCTCAAGCGCGAATTTCCTTCTTTCTCTACAACTTCTTCTTCTTCTTCTTTATCTCGTCGTAATTGTTAAATTTTTTTATCCGTTCACATTTTCGAAAAAAGCCTTCTTTATTTAGAGAAAAGATCGCGTGATCAAAGTCGTATAATTACATAGGCACCATAAAATTAATTACAAATGTTAATATAATAATTACAATTGTACATGTGATGTGTATTGACAATTTCAAATGAAAAATTTCAAATCTATCGAGCGCCAAATGATAGAAATATAATTACTACATAATCGCTGTACATATATAATTATAATTAATAAAAATTTTTTAAAAACAGGCTTTGACAACGCATATAAGATTAACTTATTTTGATTCCTAGAACAAACAAGTCAATTTTTAAATCCTTGATCGAATCATGGTCCGTGATGATGAAATAATAATATCATTTACAAAAATAAAGAATTAACAATTATGTATACATTTTAATATACTCTCTCTCTCTATATATATATATATATATATGTATATACTCTCGTCCTTTCTCTTCTCTTCCTATATTATTTTTAATTATAGATATAAAGAATTGCACGCGTAAAAAATGCGTTTATTCGAAAAAATTTTGTTTCCAGGCGCTCGACGCGTTTGAGATTTTCCAGGTTTCCTCGCCCATCAATTCACGCTGGATATTCGCGAGAAAAGAAAATCGAAATCCGCGCTTTGCAGTCGAGATAATCATATTAAAACACCATTCGCAGTTTCTATATTGACCGGCGTAAAAAAAGTCCCGCATACAATTTGTTCCTGAATCCACGAACTTAGTGGCGGACATTTCTTTTCCCTTATTTTTTTTTATATGCACAAGTATCACAATCGCTCACGCTCGTCTACGAATACATCATGTATATACGTGTGCTTTTTTTCGTTTTTACTTTGTCGTCGCGTTCGCCGTTTTTAAAGGGCGATGATCTCAGCCAAATGCTGTTGCGTCTCGAAATATCGCTCTAGAACGATACGTTTTGCTGCTCTAACGAATTGAAAGATCCGCAGTTTTTTCTTTTTTTTTTTTTTTTTTTTTAATTTTAATATATATAAAAATATGGAGAATTAATTGTATATAAAATTAAAAAATATTATATTAAAAATATTAAACTTCTATATAAAATACGATTGAATTAATGATTTAAATATTAAAATTTAACTACATTCCAGAATGGTTCTTTCGAATTAGAGCCAGCAGATTCGCTCTAGATAGATATTAACTGTGAATCGCAGCCTCTTCGATTCGAGGCTAGTTTTAAAAAGACCCGCTTCCGGTCCTACGCTTAAAAGTATTAAAGTTAGATATTATAAACTGCAACCTATAAGCTGATCCCATGTTATTTCTTGGTCACAACCTCGTTGAAATCTTTTTCCCATCATTGCTTACGGATCACTCTTGAAGATTCTCGACGAGAACTCGAGAACTCGAAGAATCAATCTTTCGAAACCTTGCGAGCTCAAATTTTCGTCGTCTCGTTTGATCACGTCGTCGTCGACCTATATACCTGAGATACGAATCATTTAAATTCACAATCTGTAATCATTTCCTTATAAATTTTATCGCAAACAAAAATCAATTCTCGATTGCAATAAAAAGTTGTAAAAAGTCCTTCAGTTTGCGAAGTCAAGCGGTTCCAGCCGGCTATCTCTCTACAGATCGACGAGGATGTCGACGATGACGTTACGAGTCTCTCCATCCCGGGCGGACGCACACGTCGTAGCCGCGAAATTCTCTAATGATTTTCTCTCGAAACCCCTCGTCAGTCTGATTCTATGGCCCCTATTCTTTCCCCTCGGAGGGCACCGTTATCTTTATTATCGCGCAAGGCGCGAATTATTGGTAAATTCCAAAAATTTTCCCCGTCCCTTTAAATCGTCCTTGAAGTCCTCGTCCTCGAACTTTCTTCTGGAATGTCGTTTTTGTCAAGAGATGCAACGCACTTCAAAATTTTAATTTCTTTACAATATTTATCAACGCTATAGTATAGTTTAGATATTAGAAATTGAGAATAATTAATCTACTAAATTTTATAATCTAATTAAAATTTTTTATATGATATAAATTTTTTGTTATAAAATATATTGAATAAATTATACATATATATATTTTTCTGTAATCATTTCCTTATAAATTTTATCGCAAACAAAAATCAATTCTCGATTGCAATAAAAAGTTGTAAAAAGTCCTTCAGTTTGCGAAGTCAAGCGGTTCCAGCCGGCTATCTCTCTACAGATCGACGAGGATGTCGACGATGACGTTACGAGTCTCTCCATCCCGGGCGGACGCACACGTCGTAGCCGCGAAATTCTCTAATGATTTTCTCTCGAAACCCCTCGTCAGTCTGATTCTATGGCCCCCATTCTTTCCCCTCGGAGGGCACCGTTATCTTTATTATCGCGCAAGGCGCGAATTATTGGTAAATTCCAAAAATTTTCCCCGTCCCTTTAAATCGTCCTTGAAGTCCTCGTCCTCGAACTTTCGAAGGAATCGGGCGGAAATGGACCCTCTCGGGAGTGTATTAGGGTATAACCGGAGTTTATTTTTGTATACTTGAATGAACTCCGTCATTCGGATAAATCCTTCCTGAACAAAGGGCTCGAAGAAAATAAACTCTTTCGAGCATTAAAAAGTTATTTACGTACTTCCGATGCGAATTCGGTATTCAAATGGATCTGTTTCCGCGCGAGAGAGAGAATTTTTCTATTCTTAAGCGGACACGGTCTCGACCATGGACTTTTTGATAATCTCGCCGAAGTTCTCGTCGCAATCCTCGGACGTGCTCTCGGACTGTTGTTCGCCGGCGACCTGATGACAGGGTTCGACGACCA